GGGGGGGGGGCGCCCCGGGGCCGCAGGTGCCGCTCGGCTCGGCCTGGCCTACGCCTAGGAACCGCCAAAACGGGCGGAGAAAAGCCCCCCGTGCACAGCCTTGCACAAAAAGAAGAGGGGTGGGTTGATGGTCTTGAGGGGCAGGAATACATAAAAACGCACGCGAAAATAGAGGCTACGCATCACTTAAATTACGCTAACGATAAAACATTTCAGAGCGAAAACTACAGAATAACGTAAGGGCTGGAAGGCTTGCTGGGAACGGCAACGCCGGCGGGAGAAAACCCGAAGGAAACGCGGCTTAGGGCGCCGTGTTGGCACATAAGAGCACCCAGGCACGTTCTGCAGCTCCTCCACGTTTAGGGTCCCGCTCGTCCTTCGGGAGCCCCTCAACAACGTGTGCGTACAGCCGTGGTGTCCCCCTCGCCTCTGCTGTAAACGCTCGGCTACAGAAAATACTGTAGTTGTAATTTGGAAATTTGGAATTTGCTTTGGTATTTGGTGTAACTTCCCCAAAAACACAAAAGTAGATCACTTTTACAGTTTACTCACAATTCAGAGGAGAAAATAGAATATACTGTAGCACTGCTGTGCAAAATGTGAGATCCCTCGTGTGCTATCCCCATGCATCAATCAGTATAGCATATTTTCAGAAAATGAAAGCATTAATTCCATTGAAAATGCCTGCAATTTTATCAAAGGTCCAAGTTTCCCATTCATAACACCATTTAAGGATGGAAATGCTTCATTTTCAAAGTGTAAGTTTATATAGGGATAAATATGGAAAATGCTCTTTACTTCACAAAGTTAAATATCATCCAAAGGATGCTTCTGAAAAACATTCCAGAAACAGGAAACAACCAAAATACGCTCCAAGGGTTAGCACGGGGATTCACTAAAAGAAAACACTGTTTTCTAAACTCCAGCTTTAACAGTTAATTGAATTGTTTATTTAAATATAAATAATAGGGTATTTATCCTCATCTTTTCATATTTGTCAAGGATATCCTATTAATATTAGGTCAGTAGGGAATGAATACACATTCACCTGCAGCTACGTGGAAAAGTCTAAACGTCACAAAGTGAGTGCATTTCCACTTACACTGGACAAGTGAATGCTGGTGCAAATAATGGAGATACATCTAAAAAGAAAAAAACGTAGGCTGAATTCCAGAAAAAGCTTCCTTAGCGTAAGGTCTTGCTCAGTCTCTGAAGGGAAGCTGTGGAAACTTTACTGCCCGATTTATTTAAAAATAAAAAAGATCTAGCAAAATCTGGGGCGGAGGTCAATGAAGCATCATCACAGAATGGAGAGGACAACCCAATAAACAGGATCCAACTACAACTTTTATGAGCTTCTTATTGAGCCAAAGAACACAATCCATTAGGGGGTCAGCATCATTCAAATACATGTGGACAAACAGTGTCAGAGATATGAAAGACAATAACATGGAGCAGTTGCTTCACGATTGAGACATTCAAAAGACTCTACCAGATGGAAAACTTCTAGTTGTTTAGTCCAAATCCTGCTATTGCAGAATTACTAATATAGTACTGTCCCAAAATCCACATTATCTGAAATATAAACAAAGCAATAGGAAACACTCATCTGGCCCTTGACCCTTCTTTCATATATTTTAATGACACCAGAGGAGGATCCTAATCAACACACTAGACTAAAGTCATTTCTATCTACAATATAGACATTTTCTACCTATTTTCCCCTAACAGTAGTTGCAAAGATTTCTACTAATAAGAGCCACAGTGGAAGTTGCAAAGTAGACCAGTCTTCTATGGCCACCACAATTTTTATTCCTCTACCAGTTACAGAGAAGAGGCTGTTACAGCGCCACAGCTACAGTGGCTATTTATGGAATTAAGCCACTCAAAATAAATAAATAATCCAGTAGAATAAATATTTGAGAAGCATAATAGATTCCCTGTTTTTAATGAGTTTTAACTAGTTAAATCTGTGAACTTTTCTTTTTTTGAGATAGTAAATAAATACGTTTTCTTCATCAAAATCAGTTTCACAAGTCTATTATCTATGCAAAAGCTTACCATTTTACATGGCTGTACCAAAAGTAAGGTTTCCAAAGATTTAGGCAAAGATGATTAAAGTGTTTCATAAAAGCATACCCTAAATTAATGCAGTCTAGGAAGCCTCAAGGGACACTGTATCATTTATATGCATTTGTGTTTTTAGCACAATCCAAAATTCACAGGACAAAATCATCTTCCATTTTACTTTTTGCAGTTTCTAAAGTCTGAATGAATTCACAACAGCGCTTATAATACTGCCACTTTCAAATACAACTAGAAAGTACTTCTGTTAAAAACCAACAAACAAAACCCCAAGCCCCACACATCAACAAGTGGTAGCAGCTTATTTTTGCCTGCCCATGTGCGTTTTAGTGGAGACATTTTGTACAAGCCAATAGGATCCAGCAATCCACAAAAAGTGATAAAAGCCATGGATTCTTGGGAGATAGCCTAGCGGTTTTATTCTCTTGGACTCATGTGATTTCCCACTGCACTTTGTAAACAATCAGTCTCAAGACAGGCTGAGAAGAACCCAGCAACGTCCAAGAGGCTACAGGCCCCAGAGCTCAGGGCACGCAGGGACGCAGCACACACAGGGATGATCACAGGGCTGGGCAGAGGCGCTGTCGGCAGCTTCAGGCAGCTCTGCTGTAACACCGGAGCGGGCACCGGCTACTGCCAAAACTCCTTGATTGCAGTGGCTTTTTTGGGCTTTCGCAGCCTGATGGCACGGATGGTATTCCCTCTAACTTTCCATGTAGAGATCCTTTTACAAAGCATTGCATGAGGGTTTGTGATTTAGCTTTCAAGAATTATTTACACTGAACTGTAACATTCTGGACATCTGAAATTATTTAGAAAACCTAGGAATCCTGTATTTTCCAGAGATAATCAGCTTCAATCACTTCCAGCTCAAGCTACACAATGGGATTAGTGTGTATTAAAAAGTGCACTTCCTTTTACAGTATTTGGATAGAAAATATGTAGCCAGTTACCTTCCTGGAGTTAAGATCCCATTGACATTTCAATGCCACCGACACAGACACCAAAATCCATCTCTGTCCCACGTCTGACAATGGGAAATTACACTGTGCTACAGAACATAGAATATTTTTTAAAAGTCTTTTTTATATGCCACTGCTGCTTTCCTTTAATTTTAGAGAATACATATATAGACACACTAACATCTATGGAAATATTGGTGTCAGTTTATACTATTTAAAAAAATGAGCGATTGACCAACTAGGTTGGAAGTGTTTTATTACTTCTTTGAATTCATTAGGCATGATAAAATGTCAAAAGCACCAGTCAAGACAGAAATAAATAACACAATCTCATGTTAGAGAGAAAGTTGCAAACACACTATATTAAATTATAGCAATATGCTGCTTCACACCAAATGATGTGGACAGCACACTAGGGAGACAGTAGTTTTACTCACGATCACTGAGGAGATCTATACCAAAACAGGGGAGCTGCACACCCAACTAAAAGTATCATTCTTTCTTTTTACCAATTTCCCCTGTGAATTCTGTCAAGGGTTTGAACGGGCAGTTTCAAACCCCCTTTGTCCAGAGGTAACAAGAGCGGTACAAAGCTTTTCTCAATAAGCCACACAGAAAGCCAAGGCTTTCATATCTCTGTAGTCTTGTTCATCAGGCCTGTTCCTGCACTAAGCTTAGACCCATATCTTAGGTCCTCCTTAGTCCATACACAGTAAAGACACAAGCTCAGGGCAGGTAGAGGACTCCTGTTTCCCATATGCAACATTAAAGGACTCCTGTTTCCCACATGCAACATTAGAATAATTAATATTATGAAATTGTACTTCAGGGGCCTTGAGCAGATCATCTCTGCAAGTTTATGGGGAGCACTGTATCAGTCAGAAAAGGAGAAAAGTTACAGTCCCTAAAGCAAAAATAATCCACAAAGAAAAGCCATATTAAAAATATTAAGGCAAGGCCTCTAAAAATTGCACATCACTTCAGGCCTGAATTAAATCATGAATAATCTATTACTAAAATGTTTCCCTATTTTCTTTCATGGCCCACAGCAAAATTTTCAGCTGCAAAAAATAGTAGAAAAATAGAAAAAACAAAAATTCTGCACTAAAGGCCTAATACTTGTCTGTTGCATGACATCTGTCATGGTGAGAAGACGACCGTTAACATGTCCTCTTCCAGGTAGGCATTTGAGAAAATAATCTTCTATCAGGGAGAACGGATGCAATACATACTGTAGGGAAGTCACATTTTCATAGAATAATTTACCAACATGTATGGACAGATGTTCTGTAAAATAAACATCTTATGCAGCAACAACAGAATGAAGTATCCCAGATCCACTATAGCAGGCCAGATGATGTAGAAGGCCAAAAGGCCAATCTCTGTATTTTTTGGCTTTAATTTCATCTCTGTTTCAATGTAATGGCTGCACTTTAAATTATATAAAAGAACCTGTTTATGCAAACCTATATGCGATCTTTCTGAAGAGGAAAAACATTCCCATGATTACTTAAGCTTAGAACATTTTTTAATTAACTAAATGTGTTAAATTATGTCAGTGATTAAATCTTGTTATTTACAAGGTTAAGTACTACTCTGATTCTTAGCAATGGTGCAATATCTAAAGTAAGATCACAGGGTTGGATTAGGTTCTGATTGTTAAAAGCTTTCCTTTTCAGCAGAACTATCCAGTTCTTTGCGGGGGGCAGGGGGGTGTTGAGTCTGGAGGAAAGGAAATGAAGTCAAACATTTTTGTGCCTCTTTTAACGCATCTTACATCTAGATCTGTTTTTGTTATTGAGCCCCATGACTCAGTGACATGGTTTAAATTTGAAGCCCATAACAACTGTGACATAAGACAGAAAACATTTTTGTTTGCAGTAACACACTACTTACTGTACTCAAACTTTTTTTTTTTTTTTAAATGTACTGTGTTTCCAAATACCTCTGGATAAAGAGGCAGATTATTTGTTTCAGAGCATCATCGAATTTCCTGACATTTTCCACATAATCTTTACAAACACCTCGCAGATGACCAAATTTGTACTTGGAAGAATTCTTCTGAAACATTGCACAGACTTTGTACCACAAGGGTTTATACATTCAAAGGCGGCTTTCTGGAGTGCAGGTCCATCCGTTCACATTGGGAAAAACGTTCACAAACTCCAAAAATTAAGAAAATTAATTGAAACCTAGTGTGACTTTACGCCAATGAGAACAACAATAAGAACAATTACTACAACAAACAAAATTAAAATAACAAGCATCTTCCGATTCTTCTTTTGATATTGCTCTGCCTATAGAAACAGAAAAGAGACAATTAACACTTAGATTTCTGCAAAACTCTGAAGCATGGATTCTTGCTTAGTATAATCAAGTACTTGTATTTTAGTATTTTTCTTTGGTAACTTGACATTTCATACAATGTATATTGCAAGCAACTCCCACAAAATAACTCCAGTCTCACTACCGACTTCAGTGAAGTTAAGCGTACACTGAAGTCACATTTATCCATATTAAATAGGAGAGGCTCTTCACAGACGAATGCACCTCATGTTTGTTAAGCAACCTTGCTGTGACTTCTTTTCAGCAGTCCTTGAGAAGGCCCTATGCCCCCATAAGACACTGCACATAATATTAGTTATACAGAGGTGATGCTTCATTTGTAAGAATACTTAGATATGAAGACTGTGGAAACAAAAATCAGACAGCTGGGTATGTGAAAGTCTGAACAGTAAGAGCTGGTGAAACGCTTTAACTCGTTTTGCTGGTATAAGATTCCTGTATTATATTCAAAGGACATTAAAATTCACAACAAAACTTCATTGTTTTAATAGGGATTTTTGTTGTACCTGATTCAGCTGTGCATTTTCATTTAAATTCAATTAGAACTGAAAGTTTTCATTTTGATTTGGTTCTCAGTTTTCTGCTTCATTCCTTCTTTCTTCTAACCACATTTTCTCATCCCTTTCCTCTTTTTCCCAGGGGAATTAAAAGGAGGCAACGTGGAGAAAACTCTCCAAAAGCCAAATGAAAGTCTGCTAATAGAAGCTAAACAAAACAAAACTTGCATTTAATTCGTTTTAAATTAATAAACCTTGAAAATTTAAAGGGAAAAAGAAATTAATTCTGCTCCTTTATAGTCCCTGGAAAATAATTATTTGTTATCAGATCTACTAAAGAGGAGTTTTGACCTGCAACTGTCTCATGCGCAACCACTGTGACTATTTAGTTAATCAGGCTTAAAGTATCACAAAGCAGTAACTTTGATTCCAATTTTCATGTGAAGGATGAACTGGTAACTAGTCATTCGTATCACAAGATTTCTGGAGTGAACGAATGCAATTTCTGTGAAAGTGCCTTCTAGGTAGTTTGTGACAATTATGTCAATTAAAACAGAAAAGAAATTGACATTACACACATTAAATTAGAATAAAGTTACCAGCACTTTTAAAAACAGCAGGGTATCTGGGTTTTACATTACCATTCAGAGGTGTGTGTACATCTTATATGATAGATGAGAAACTTTCTATGCTGTACTGCAAACATCCGATCTAAACTGCATATTGCATCAAAAATCCATGCTCTTATCATCAAGCAGAGAAGTGGTTTGCTGACAATTCATTAACTAGACTAGAAGTAGTCTTCATTACAATTGATTCATTTATTTGCAGTTCAGTTTGTGCAAATTGCTTGCAATTACTTTAAGACTTGCTTCCCAGTGGCTAATGCCTTATTTTAACAAACCCAATTTACCTCTATGCACAACAAAAATAAACCTGTAAGGAAATTTATTTTGCTCTTCTCAAATGGCACTTTTTTGCTGACAACATATTAGAAGTCTGCCATAACACGAGGAAGCTGAGTGAGCATTAATAAGACGTCCACATTCCGAAAACTAAAAATGTTCTACTCCTATAGAGGTTTCTGCATAAATCTCTCATTCCATTTTATTTCCAGTAATGAAAGGACTGAACTGAGCTGACAAGTCAGAACTTTTCTTAAATCAAAACAAGGCCAAGAAAACAAAACATCTGCAAAATCTGTGTTCTGCTGCCAATTTAAAGCTGTCAGATGTTCACAGTGAAAGCTTCACATTAAACGCATAAGGTTTGATCTAACTTCTAACAAATGTCATACTGTAAGAGCGAGCATTTAAAGTTATCCTTTCTACTCACTGAGATAACATTTGCAAACTAGGCTATATTAACTGACTGACTGAAATCTGTAGTGAGGTATCCAATAACCAGTTCTATTTCAGGAGTGCTCAGCCCTCAAACCAAACAGTGAAGACCGAAAGAAGTGCAGATAGGTCCCAACAGGTCTGCAACATAAGGACCAGAGCACACTGCCTGGATGCCCAAAAAATGATTCAGGAACTTAACACTAGGCATCAAGCATGTTGTTACCACAAATTACCTGGAAAGATTCTACTCTAGTACAGTTGGACATTTTCTACTGTACAACAATCATATCCAACAAGGAAGATGTTCAAATGAAAAATGGCTGGTAAGAACTTAACAGCTATTACATTATAAAAGATTATTAGGTATGCAAGGCATCTGAAGTACACTGTCAGCTTACCTTATGTAACTGTTTTAGGCCCTCTTCAGTTTTGATACATGACTGTTCAACATTGTAGTCAATTCTATCTAGAACTGTTCCCTAAACAAAACAGGGAGAATGAACACCAGCTTGAACCCAAATACACTCCATCAAGCAGTTATCACTAGAATCAGCAGGGTAATAATCAAGGTTTACAGCAAACAGCTAATGAACTGTGTAAGCTGTGAACTTTTACAGAAGAACTGGTTAGGACTTTTCTTTGAGACATCCTTGTTCAGTGCCTAACTGGTGGCCCTGTCATCATCTCATATCACATCCTTCAATAACCTCTTACTCTGAAATCAGGGGTTCTTGGCTGACATGTTCAACCCAAACAGACTCTTTGGGAGAAATAACCAACCAAGTTTTAGCATTCTATGTTTTGCTAGTCTAATCCTCATGAACAACTAATTATTCTTCCTGTTTTTTTTTTTTGGTTAATTTATCTTTTGACAGATATTGAACATAAGAAACCTTAGAATGAGCAAATGAAGTTTGGAAAACTGATAAATACACGAAAACAGGACATTAAAACAAGAAGCGTCTGGAAGCCTTGATGCTACATAAAATCTCCTATTTCTTACTAAAACTGTGATGTCAATATACCTGCTCTACTATCATTGCTCCCAGGTCCCTAAATATTTCATTCAGATCAGAGATTGACTGTACAATTTGACGGATTTCTCGCTCCCGCTCTTCTTTTTTTCTCTTCCACCATTAATGCATTTTGCTCCACCAATGCTAGCTGGTCGTCTGTAAAACCCTGTTGAAATAAAAGATTTAAATGTTGAAATAACATTAACACCATGTTAACGTTATAAATAATTATAGTAATTGTAAGACTTCATAACACAACAGTGGTTTTGGAACTTCCATAGTAGACGATCATCTAATAAAAATCTTACCATTTTTTAAAATCCTGTTTTCAGGGTTGCTAAGATGATAAGATGATTTGGATAGCTATTTATAGTTTTAGTAGAGTAAATTTAAATCTTACATCCCACTTAAACACACAAAGAACTTTTAAAATACGATCTGTCCTAAAATAATGTTTTTATTGATGTACAAAACCAATACATGTAAGGGGCTTGTAGTTATGGAACGTCTACAGATTGATCAGCATTACAGACTGTGTCATAATGTCAATGGTCATTAAAATGGGTAAAGACAAAACAGCAATTCTGATTTTTTTTTTTTAAACCATAGAGATTTTACTATTTTCTCTCTCAAGGCCATTTACAACGAATACCATCCTTTTTTTCCAGCATTCAAACAAAACACCTCTTACATACTAGTTATGGAAAAAGCAAAGACTGCTTGTTACCTAAGTTTTCAATTAAGCGTCAAGCATTATACCTAAGAATGCTCTGCTGCGCTATTACATGGGACACGCTCAAACAAATTCCAATATTGCTTAGATATACAGTATCCCCAAACTGCAAGTACTCCCAGTATCTCTGCCAAAAAAGTAAAACAAAGACATACGTCTGGTATTGTGATACAACAATGCCAACTTAACTGCCCAGAAGCAAATCATTACATTGCTATTTATATCAATTTTTCATCTTGAAAATCTTGAGTTATGGTTTCCTTCGCTTGAAAAAGGGACATCTTTCACCCAAGCTCAGCATCATGCACGCACAGCTTTCTAATAATGACTCCTGCATATGCCCAGGGAGGTGGCGGGACCCAGGATAACACTGTTTTTTCAGACCTCCTAATCCCTTTCAGTTATGTAAGACAAATTCAGTAGTCAAACTGAGTTCCCTCACACTGCAACACTGAAGCTGACGGCACAGTCCTCTTAACATCTCAACAGCAATACAATACTAATCTGGCAAATGGATCGCTCAAAGCTGCAAAAATGTTTCCACGTAGTTTGGTGCTTAGTGCACATCAGGTTTTCATCCTTTTTGATATTTTCATATTAATATTAAAGGTATGCTAAAAAAATTCTCTGCATTGAATTCAGGTAATAATATCTTTACTTACCCTGTCGTAAAGTGTATTGTCCTCCCCATCATCCATAAGCGGGACTGAGGTGTCAAAGAAGTGCTTGGATCTTTCTTCTCTGTTCTTCATGCCTGTAAAAAACAAACTGCATTTCAGCATAATGTTTAGGCACACTAAATAAAAACTCACTCAGATTTCCTATCGACTTTTCAAAAGTGTGTGTAGGTAGAAGAATATTTTCCAATAGCTTTTGGAGGAACAAGATATACATTGGGGAGTAAGAGCAAGATCTGAAGCACAAGATAGGAAATCTGGCTAATAAGCGACATAACCAGCAGGCTCTGATTTTTAACTGCCATATAGGTTTGCTTTTTAACAAAAGCATAATGAATTCCACCAGACTTACAGACTTACCCTGATTAAACCAAAGATTTTAAGTCATCACGTTCCACGCAGTTAAAAAGTTAGATCCCTAGGTTAATAAGAGCCTTAATATATAATGACGCTCGGCTATTTTCTAACAAATACTCTCAGAAACATCCTTCTTCTGAATTGTGATCCTAAGTTCTAAGTTTACAGCATGCGAGGAAGAAATGTTAGACGAGCATTAAGTTTAACAATCAAACTTTTCACAAGATTAAAATAAGCTTGCTTTACTATGCTAAAAATAGAGTTGCATGCAATTTTGGATTTTAAATAGAGAATATTCCATTTTCAATCTGTTTATGGATACAGAATTTCAATTAACACAAACTACCTTTTAAAGTTTAATCTACCACAGACTACCAATCATCAGCAGGTATCATGTCTGAAACATGTCTGTTTCACCCGTGTAACAGAAGCAACTGCTTTGCAGACAACCATTTGAGGAGGAGTGAGACATTAAGAATTTGTATAGAAGAAATACATGTCCGATTTCACTGATATATTTAACCACGAAATTTCTGCCCTAAATATGAAATAGAAAGGCACAGTCAAGCAGGCTAAGCATGGGTTGTGAACCAGAAACTCCAAAATTCTCATATCCGTTCTTGGTGGTCTTATGAGTATCACTTATCCTTTCTGTGCTCCAGTTTTCTCAACCAAGAAAATAGGCACCCCTTAGTTACTGTTTTCCACAGGAAGTGCCCATGCATTACTGTATCTCTTATGCTTACGTTTGAGATAGTCAGACTGTGCATGCCTAAAGTTGGTGGATAGGTCCTGAAGGGACTGTGCTAAGGAAGATACTACGTTCCTGAGAACACGTTCTTCTTGTTCTGTACAATTGCGTGACCTGCTCTGCAAGACCTGGACTGCTCTCTGACACCTGTGAAATAACTGAGAAAACAATTCCATTAGTAAGAAGTACAGCAACACACGTTTTAAATATGACATGGCTAAAGTTCCAAATGGAAGACTAAGATTTTGACTTACAGATTTTTAGAACAAAATCCTTGTTGCACAGTTCTATGTTTAGAAGATTACACAGAATGCGCACAGAATGAAGACACAGAATATAATAAACAAACAAATTAAAGCTAACAGGGTAACACAACTAGTTTTGACCAAAGACATTTGTTTCACTATAAGCATTCCAATTGGAAGTCACAGAATACATTTTTGTATTTTTCTCAGATATCTGTTAATGTGATTTAATTAAACATCCTAATCCTATTTCAAGACAGGAAAGCAAGCAGGTAAATAAAGGAAGAAGGAGGTTAAGTGACTTGTTGAGAAGTGCACTGAGACAGTAGCAGTACCAAGCACAGAACCCAGGAGTCTGGCTCACTGTAAATACTAATTATAGAAGATAGACTTTATTCCAAGGAAACCACTGCCTCACATCAGGATACTCATTCTAGATACGTCATACTGTAGAGAAAGCAATCTGCACCTGTGTGATCTCTTGGGTGGTTATTTCTATTGCATGTTCTTCTTCACTGCTGTCATCCAGCGTTGGTCTGTTTAGATGTTTATCATGAAGACTAGCCAATTCTTTCATCTTCTGTTTAACCCTGGCGATATCATACTGAATCTAAAACACAAAACCCAACAATGGAGAAAGGGAAGTGACTAACGTTTCAGAGGAAAAGGTTCTGACAAGTGGTAGACAAATAACGCAAAACATTAAAAGAAATCTCTGCAAGATAAAAAAGCAGGCTCAAGTTCATTAAAAAACACAAAAAGCCGACCTCTCAGTCACTGAAAACTTCCATAGGCTTTGTGAGTTTGCTACTTTTTACACCTGGTATAAACTCTCCTCCAGCTGATCTCAGGGAAGACTGTGCTCTTTTCAAATATACAGTATTAAGCTGGAATAATAGTTTTGTTATATTATTATATAATTTATGTCATAGCAAGAAAGATTTAGCCAACTTCCAAAAATGTAAGTGAAAATTTAGGTCATCTCATCACCTTCATCTCTGTCAAACACGCTACAGACTAAGGTAAAGGCCATGCTTTCAAAGTGGTCACTAGAAATTGGTCACTGTAAGCATTAGGGATCTATTGAATTGAATCCCTCAAAAAGCTCAAACAAACAGCTAAGTGGAAGTACTAAATTTTTTATACCCTCTCTTCTAAGCTTTGGACTTTTGGACTTTATAGCTTGCCTTCTAAGCTAAAGACTTTGCTTTGCTGAGAGCTTTAGGACCTTCCTGCAGTCTCAAGTGTTTCAGTCCTATTGTAACAGTCCAAATGAAGTGTTAATTCTGGACTCCCCCTGATCACGGAAATCCAGCCTTCTGGAATTTCTGGCCCTAGATAATTTCCCTTTATTTCACTTGTGATATAGCCTTCAAAATAATAAAATACAGCCTGCCCGAAATCTTCCCTTAACAGGGGTGGCAGGTGATCCAGCACTACCAGAATGCAGAAGAAAGCTTGCTTTAGTATTTTCTCTAAGACTACTTTTATAATAAACTTTCAGAAGCATCAGTGTTGTCACAGTTACATTCCCAATAAATTCCTTTATGAAATCACACTCAGTGTTGGATTTAACACACAACTTACTTCATCAGCTCCATCAACCCATTTGGGAGGTAAGCGTTTTGTTACACCAATTGCTGCTTCTGGATCTAAACTTATTCCCGACACCAGTGCCATACGGTCATCAGCAAGCTGCAGAAGATAACAGAAATATCCTTAAAACCAGAAAATTAACTTCATTCAAAGTAGATATCCTTAAGCATTAGGAAACAGTGCAGGTGTACTCTCTCTTTCCGTAAAAATAACCTCAAAAATGCGTTTGCACATGAAGCAGTTGTAACCATGCTCCACATTTTCTGGTTAGTCCCCCATATACTAATTATCTATGTTCTCCCCCTTCCTAGAGGATCTGAAAGGTGAAACCTACTCTTGAAGTAGATTCTTAAAAGATTTTCAAGGGGCAAGTGTGGCGTTGCAGTAAGAATTCAAGTAATTCTTACACTGGAGTAAGAGGTGCATTTCATTTTAGGCAACGACCCACGGCCAGTGGATCCTTAATCTATCGTATAACATGGCTAATATTAGGCCAGGCTGATTTGGGGAAAACTCCAAATAAACCAAGATGTTTACTATTTCCTCATGAAATGAAAATGATATATTCTCATCAAGATGAGACTGTGTCAGATGCTCACCTATAGGCTGCAGGGCTGGCATTCTTTCAAAATGACAGGCAACTAAAATTGATATATTATTTATTTCGTGGAAATAAGAAAGTGCTAAACAAAAAATTACTGAGTCAATGAATGATTCACATTTTTCTGTCACAATGATATGAACTTGCTGCTTCAGCTTTACGGTCTGAAGCAAATAAACTCTTGCAGGAAAATAGGTGGAATAATTCTCCAGAAACTTCCGCACATTGTCAGAGGAAGTAAAACAAGACAATGTGCCAGCCAGGCTTACACACAGCTTTCTCCAGATCCAGAGCAGGGCTGGAGTTGAGGGGGGGGAGGAAATGTGGGGCAGTAGTCTGACCTGCAGAACTGCAGTAGGTCCCTTACCCTCCCCACTTGGGCATTATATATTTTCCAAGTGGAAAAACAGCTTCAAGCATTAGACACTGCCACTGCAGAAGTTCTGAAAGACTCCTAATTAACACCTTCTGGGCCTCCGAAGTCCCTGACATTAGAGCATTTGTTTGTCTCTGAACAGATACTCTGAGCAGAAAAAGCCCTATTTTGTAGGGAACCTCAACACTGGTGCCCACTGGGGAATCACTTCTAGTTTAATAACAAAATCAAAGAAAACATCCAAGAATAGAAAGGGGCTAAAATGGAAAGATCAAAATGATATACAAGTAAGCTGAGGCACTTAACTGAGGACCGAGAAGTATTTTATGCATTCTGGATGATTACACTTTATGAGCGTATTTAAATTATTATCAAAACTACCAAATGTGATTTTCTCTATGCAACTAACAGCTTACGAAAGTGCGTATTATCTTCATCTCTTCTCCTCCCCAGTAGCCTTTTTTGCTTTAGGAAATATTACTTTTCTCTGCTCAAATTGTAGGGAGCTCTGCAGCATCAGGCTCCTGCACTTAAGCAAAGCCCCATCGACTTCAGGAATAATGCACCAGAATGGAGTTCACTGATGTATCAGTGACTGGAATTCTACACACATCTCTGTGCAATGCATAATACAAGGCCCTGATCCTAAGTAAGGCCTCTGGGAACAGTGATAACACAAGTAGAGAACATCAGCAACCTAGAAAGAAAATAAAAAGGCATGCATTCTTAGCAGCAATGCACCCGACATGGATTTATAGGCACTTAATACACAAATCATTTCAGAAATAGCATACTGCATTAGTCCTCCTTAGAGGAGATGACACATTATTGCATCTCGCTTTGCAGACCTGTAATAATACAGAAAGAAACCCTTTATCACAATTAATAGTAGTCACATAATTTGAATAACTGAAGTGTGACAAATCAGGGTTTTATACTATTGAAGACTTAGGCACACCGATCTACAGCAGCACTGTAGCAGTTGCTGAAGGGTATGACACGGTTTTTGGAGACTGTATTTTTGGAAATAGAAACCTGATATGCAGAGTCTAAAAATTAAAAGGCTTTGAGAAAAACATGTAACTCATTATAGGTACTTTTTACAAAGTAACAAAATGCTTGCCATAAATGTGTCAGAATCTTATTTTTCTAATCATACTTTTGGGTGCAGGTTGAATAACTTCACTTCAAGATATGAAAGCTTACATATGACAAATAAGAAGGAAAATGAACATAATGCTTTTTTTGACTGGTTTGGCAGAGACTAAAAGCCTTGGTTTGACTTTGGATATGCTGGTACAGATTCACCTATCTGCTTTGATATCATTACTGGTAAAACGTGCTGCTCACCCTCAATGAGAATCGTTTCATTAGGGACAGCTTTGATATTACAGATCTCTAAAGAGATCAAAAGATTTTTCTCTGTAGGGTTTAGAAACACATATAGAGGCAGTGCTATAGAGCAGGTACAAAGAAACCCATTTCTAAAGTGGTGCAGTATAGGGCAAGGTTGTCCAGAGAAGATGCAGTATCTCCACTCTTGGACGTTTTCAGAACTTGGCAAGACAAAGTCATGGATGACGTGATATAGGCTGGTGACAGTCCTGTTCAGAGCAGGAGGCTGGACTAGATCTCAGAGGTCCCTTCCAACCAGCATGTCTATGATTCTTTGACCTAAAACTGAGTATGACACACATATAACTGGCCACGTGCAGGGCCAGGAAGCAACATTTAGCACTGGGCTAGGTACGCTTCCCAGTCACCTTTCTCCTCCGAAGGCAAGGCAGGGGGGAATGGATGGAACCAGGAGACAGTTGAACCGGGCTGTGCAACTTCAGAGATAAAATACCTTCATTTAAAATATTTACTATGGACAGAAAGCAGTGGTATCATCAGTGATACTATTTTAAAGATACCTAGTTATTTCACTGTTCATTCTCAGGGAAAACGCTTCATAAAACAAACAAACAACCCCCCAAAACTCACTTCCTATTTTCCTCAGGGATTTTAAAGTTTTCCCATGTCAGGTCTGGAAATCTTTGTGGTTCCCTCCCCCACACCTTTCCAAAACCAATCCCTCTTCCTCCCTTGGCAATTCTTTCCTGAAAGCCTGTTTTCCCTCGGACCTTTGTATTTCCTGATCAGTAAAGTTCGTAGAGTCAGATGCGGCATAGCACAAAAAATAGTTAAGAGCTTCATTGTTCTTTGTTCAAAATTACTATATCCCATGTGTGTACAATAAATCAAGCTAGTTTTATATATATATGGTAACACTGTAACATTATTTCACAAAATGCTTGTCTTCTCTATGCAGCCTTGGCCTTTAACTGTAAAAGGAGACACCTCATCTTACATAATGAAATCTCATAAACTAGCAGAATAAAAAAGGAAGATTTTAACTCAGTGATGTATGTTTGATGCACCATGACACAATAAAATGTGAAAAAAACAATACCTCATCCAGCTCCTGAGGTGATTTGTGGATCCCATCAATCCCATCCAGTTAGAGACAGCAAAAGATAAAAGGGAAAAAGAGAGACATAGGACAGATACAGGGTATGGTCAGTTGAGAAAATACTAGAATGTTGTTTTTAAACACGACAGTTTACCAAGAACAAAACAATCCGGCTTTTAAAACAAGACTAGCCAATAAAAAGTACAATATCATGATGTATTTAAGACAGCATTTTGCTTGATGCACAACCTTTTTTTTTTTAAATATTTCTGTTGCTTGGTAAACAGAAAAAATGTAAGAGATCAAGTTAAGAGGTTTTTTTTTTTTTTAAAGTAACTGCACAATAAAGTTTCTAGTTACTAAAATTTCAGGTGAAACAGTGCAGTGTAGTATTAGAATATATTGAAGTGTAACAGCAAGAGTAATTTGATTGCATTATTCAACATCAAATGCAGAGTTAGAAGCTTTTGATTACGATTGGAGGATCTGTATACAAACTTGGATAAAGCATTTTTGGTAAGCACCGCAGTTATCACAGGATAAAACAGAGACAGTAAAAGACAAAAAATAAAAGCAAACATACTATATGCTCAGTTATGGATAAACTTCAAATATGTTCCAGTTGCAGGTAACACTAACTGTACATGCATCTCAGAACCACAAAAGGCTAGCATCCCCAGTGTATCTGCAACTTCACTATTCATCCCTCTTTGTACTGTAGAGGGTTTATGTAGGGAATAGGAAGTTTTGCCGAAAAGTTAGTGAAGCTAACATGTTAGATCTAAAACGAGGACAAAATACTTGAGGTTTAACAAAGCAGCAGGCTTCATTTAATGATCTTTTTTATCCTATACCAAGGCTTTGAAATAAAACTCTACTGTTAAGAATGCTACTTCAATTACCCAAGATTAAGGAGTGGTTAACGATCAGCATGAGAATGCATATTCCAGGGCAGAATGCAATTTTTGACACAGAACTCTCATAATAAGGGAATTCTCCAGCAGAAGCCTAGAGAGCGAACTAAGGCAAGCCAAAGTACTAAGGACTAGGATTTGCAATACAGGCCTGCTAGTATGCTGCAGCCTCACTCTGGGGATACTACCCCAAAGAAAAGAAATTAGCTGCAACCGTTACAGTAATAGGCACCTTAGAAACACGAGAGGTGAACAGCTCCCACTAGGCCATCTTTACACTTATCGCTAAAACAGTATGTTTGCAGTAAACAGCAACTATGGAACTGAAAACTGTCCTCCAGGAGCAAAATTCAGCCATTAACTAACTTCATACACTGCACAAGAGGGTAACAATTTCCAGCCTCTGTCAACTTTGGCTGCATTTGAACCAGCATGCAAGAAAATAGCTTCAATTACTGTTGATAAATACTGTAAACAAACTTTTTATTCAAGTGCTAAGTGTTACTGCACTCTTTATCGAACAGAAGTGTAGTTTCATTGGTCAGTAATCTGAATGTGTTTTAGCTACTACTAACTTTCCAAGTGATATTAAAAGAGTTATCAATTCCAAGGATCTAAGAAAAATAACACTGTTCTTGGCAAAAAACACATTAAGAAGAAAATGCTACAATAAGAGGTATATAATACACATTTCTAGCTGTGACTTTTCCCATTCTGCAAATGGGATTTAATGCATAGCTTGTATAAGGGCAGGTTTAATAAAGTTAACAATTAACAAAGATTGTTCCATAGCAACTCATCAGTTGAAATAGAACTTGCAGCATGAAACACTGCTCTTCCTAACTAAAAAAAAAAAAAAAAAAAAAGGGTTAATGCAAAGCCGCTGAGAAAGATGAGTGGGCCAGCAGACATTAACTGGAGGTTGTTGCAAATAAATGAAAAGTCTGAACAGAAAGCAGAGACGCACTGGTAGCGCTGTACTGATGTGTTTTGTTACAATTACAAGCCAGAAATATCAGCTGAGTTTGGCTGCCAAGGGGAATGATGCTTCATGATCAAAATCAAACCATTAACACCCTTCAAATCGCCCCACGTGAATCTACTTTTATAAAAGCCTCCTTGCGCGTATTTTCGGAAGAATTATTCTGAAAACTGTTTCAAAGCCACCTTCAATTCTCAAGTTTTCCATCACAGTCTGACCTGCTCAAAATTTAGAAGAAGCCATACGAACATCATCTGCCACCGAACAAACAGCTTTTTGAAGTCTCTGTAATGAGGAGTCATACTGGAATCTACTGAGTTCCCCCTCTCACAGCTGACTGCCAACATTACTTGTATTTGGAGGGGGGAGGATAGGAAGATGGGAATCAGAACAAACTAAGGAAAACTTCAAGCACCAGGAATAATCCACTCTACTGCCTTTAACAGTACCCACACCACAGTGAATAGAAGAGTTCTGCTCTACAAAATAACTTAATTTTCTTTTTTTCCCCTCTCTCCTTCGTTTAGGAGAGAGATAGAACAGCAACAGAAAACAGCCTAACGTCCAGCGCTAGGAAGAAGTTACAGCCTTAATAACTGTGTTATTTATGAGGGGAACGGAGACGAGCGTGGAGGCAGATCTCTTCTATTCGTTTTATGGGAAGTAGTGTGTGGGGGGGAAGGAATCGTTAGGGTGG